TTGACGGAGCACCGAGCACCAGCTTCGTTCTCGCAGACGGCGCGGCGGCGAAAGGGGGGAAAGGCAGAAGGGAGGAAGGAAGAATAATGATGATGATGATAAGGATAGTGGAGGATGGGGGGGGGGGTGGAGTGGAGGTGGGAGTGGGGGGAGGGTGGGGGGGGGGGGTGGGGTGGGGGGTGGTGATAATGATATTGATAGCAATACTAATAAGCATGGTAATAGTAATCGTGAAAATTATGATGATTATGCTAATGATAATAAAAATAGATAATGATAATTATGAAAAAAATAATACAATAACAATAGGGAAAAAGCAAGAACAAAAATAGTAATAGTTACAATAACAATGGTAATGATGATAATAATAATAATTATGATAATGATAATGATGATGATGATGATGATGATGATGATAATAATGATGATAATGTTGATGATGACGATGATGTATCTCTGTCTGTCTGCCTCTCTCTCTCTCTCTCTCACTCTCTCTCTCTCTCTCTCTCTCTCTCTCTCTCTCTCTCTCTCTAACTGTGTGTGTGTGTGTGTGTTACCTTCTCTCTACCTAGCCCTCTCTCCCTGTCTGTCTCTCCGACTCTCTCTCTCTCTATCCCTTTACCTCTCTCCCCCCCCTCTCTCTCTCTTTCCCTCTTTCCCCTCCGCCCCCCTTCTCCCTCTCTCTCTATCTCTATCTCTCTCCTTCCCTCCCTCCCTCCCCCCTGTCCCTCTTTCTCTCCCTCCCCCTCCTTCCCTCCCTTTCTCCCTCTTCCTCCTTCGCTCCCCCCTCTTTCCCTTCCTCCTTCGCTTCCCCCTCTTTCTCTTCCTCCTTCGCTCCCCCCTCTTTCCCTTCCTCCTTCCCTCCCTTTCTCTCTCTTCCTCCTTCGCTCCCCCCTCTTTCTCTTCCTCCTTCGCCCACCCTCCTCTCTCATATCATTATTTTTCCCTTCCGTTCGCTGTCCAAACGATAACATTCTTTGACGAAGAGTTCCCCAGACTCACCACCTGTGCTGAGCTGTGTCCTCGTTGCTATGGAAACGGCGGAGATAGGTAGCATCCCCTCGCCTCCTCCTCTTCTTTCTCTTTCTTCTCTTCTCTCGTCCTTCTCTTCTTGCGTTTTTATTTTTAATTGCTTCTAGTTTTTCTTCTTCTTCTTTTCCCCCTTCTTTCGTCCTCTTCACTCTTTCTTCTTTATCCTTCACTCTTTCCCTCTTCTCCTTCTCCCTCTCTTCTCCTTTCTCTCATCTACCTTCTCCTCTTTTCCCTTTCCCATTCTCCCTTTCTCTTTCACCTTCTCCTTTCTCCCTTTGCTTTCCTCTTTCCCCTTTCTCCTTTCTCCTCCCTCCACCTTTTTTACTCTCTTCCCGCATTTACCGTTTCTTTTCTTCCCTCTCTCTTCTTTCCCATATCTCCTTTTTCTCTTTACCCTTCTTCTTCCTCTTTCTCTTCTTCTTCTTCCTCTTTTCCCTTCTCCTTCTTTCTTCTACGTTACCCCTGCTCCCCCTCGTTATTGTTTACTCCTTACATCCCTGTCCTTCTAAATACATACATAAACAGACACACACATGCAGACACACACACACACACACACACACACACACACACACACACACACACACACACACACACACAAACAAACAAACAAAAACACACACACAAATGCACAAACAAATGCAAACATACACACAAACACACATGTGATGAAGCGAGACATAAGCAAAACAAGAATGGTACAAGTAAACAAGTAAACAAACAAACGACAACAACAATAACAAAAAGGAAACAAAAAATAATTTTAAAAACGTACTATTTCTAACACACATTTCCCCCTTGTTTTCCTCTCTAGCTCTTTATCTATTGCTATATTAATCTATCTATCTCTCTGTCTATTTCACACGTCTCTGTCTATTCGTGTCTTTGTTTTCTTATGCATTCACGCACTGGCTTATTCATCTGTTTATCACCTTTTATATCTATTCGTTGAGTATATATACATTACTAAATACCAAACCATATTACCATACTAACAAAATACAGAAAAATAGAGCAAAAAAACTCATTTTATTCGTCAATTCACTCATCCAATGAAGTACATTATTCATCTTTCTATTCACTGACTCATCTACTAGCGAACTCTGTCTTCATTCATTCAGTCACCTAATTAATTGACTCACCTGGTTACTTACTCACGTAGCTAATTCACCTGTCATCCATAATTAGTTAATTCATCCAGCCAAGTAACTTCCTCTTTCATTCATCTGACTCACCAACTGCCCTGTGCTCATACATGTACTAGATGAATAAACGTATATAATTCACCTGCTGGCCTCGCATTATTCCCTCATTTATTCATTTTATAAATTAATTATCCATTTACCGCCCATCCCCTCACTCGCTCACCCCAATAAGACTCCCCCCCCCCACCCATCCCCTCACTCGCTCACCCCTATAAGACTACCCCCCACCACCCCCTCCCTCCCCACCCCACAGCGAGACTCACCTGCCGCCCTGGCTTCCTTGCAGGCCTCGTACATCTCGACCTTGATTTCGGGGTTGTCGTCCGCTATCGTCTCTCCGACCGTCACGAACCGATCCACCGCCACGTTCACGGCCTGACCCACGCGACATAACGCCCGCGCTGTCTTCTCTGACCCGGCCCGGCTCCGCTCTCCCGGCGAGGTCACCAACGTGCTGATCTGCGTGAGAGAGAGAGAGAGAGAGGGAGGTTAGGTGGAGGTTTGGAGGTTAGGTGGGGAGGGTGGGAGGGTGGGAGGGGGGGAAGGGGGGGTGAGGGAGGGGGGAAGGAGGGAAGGTTGGGTGAGGGAGGGAGGGTTGGGTGGGAAGGAGGGAGAGGGAGGAGAGAGAGGGAGGGAAGGAGGGAGGGGTGAGAGGGTGGGAGGGAAGGAAGGAAGGAGAGTGAGGGAGAGGAGAGAGGGGTGGGTGGGTGAGGGAAGGAAAGAAGGAGGGAGAGGGAGAGGAGGGAGGGAGGGGTGGGTGGATGAGGCAAGAAGGGAAGGTAGGGAGAGGGAGGGGATAGAGGGTGAAAGAGAGGATTGGCTGGGTGAAGGATTGAGGGAAGGGAGAGAGAGGGTAGGGTAGAGAAGAGAGGGAGGGGGGTTAGGTTTAGTTTGGGTGAGGGCATGGGGTACTCAGGTTTATAGGGCAGGGGATGGAGCTGATATGTAATGGGGGTGGGGGGTGAGGGTAGGGAGGGAAGGTGGCTGTGTGTGTTACAAGTCTATATTTTTTTTTGTTCAAATTTTGATTTGTACAATTAGGTGTATCTGTCTGCCAAAATACAGGTCAGAATGGAAATATGAAGAAAAAAAGTGCAAAAAAAATCACATAAACATTTACGGTGTTTATTTCATCTTATTATTACTAGATAAACAAGGGAATTTCATAGTGTATATCTCTCAAGTTGATTTATCGAAATTCTTTCCTCTTCCTAGGATATATATTTCGATGTCAAAAGATTTTTACATATATATGGGAAACAAAAAGCATAAAGAGAAAGTGGCGTTACTTGACAGAAACAATATATAACAAAAACAACTCCAGCAAAATATCCAAGAACACTAGATTTCAGACAAAAAAAAAAAAAAAAAAAAAAAAAAAAAAAAAATGCGACTAACACTGATTCGTATTAATGACTCTTTCTGCATATAAAAAAAAATCTTGAAAATCTATCTTCTCTAAATCTCTTCAACAAATAATCAAATCTCCAAAGCATGAAGATACTGCAAATATTCAATAGCTCCATCTTAAATTAATAAAGTATATTTTCGGTCGTGTGCATTTTCTATTTTTGGAATCCGGAAATGCGTCACTGGCATATCATTGGCATATCTAAATATCTAGAGAGAGAGAGAGAGAGAGAGAGAGAGAGAGAGAGAGAGAGAGAGAGAGAGAGAGAGAGAGAGAGAGAGAGAGAGAGAGAGAGAGAGAGAAGCAAACTACAGGAAAGGGAAAAGAGCAGGAAACAAGTAATGTAAACAACGAAAGTAACAAAAAAGGACAAGCTTAAAAAACAACAACAGAAAGAGGCAAAAATGAACAGACAGACAAGACAAACAGATTATACAAAACAGAAAGAGAGAGAAGAGAGAGAAAACAGAAAAAACAAACAAACACAAAAAACACAAGGCAGAAACAAACACCCGAATGCACAAGACCTTCCTTTCCCCCTCCCCTTTTCCTCCCTTCCTCCACCCCTCCCTTTCCCCACTTCCTCTCTCCTTCCTTTCCCCTCCCCCCTCTCCTTCCCTCCCTTTCCCCACTTCCTCTCCCCCCTCTCCTTTTCTCCCTTTCCCTCTTTCTTTCCCTTTCCCTCTTTCTTTCCCTTCCATCAACCTCCGCCCCTCCCCTTCCCTTCCCACTTTCCTTCCCCTCCCCTCCACTTACTACTTTTCTCCCTCTCTACCCCTTCCCCTCCCCATTCCCCTCTCCACTCTCCATCTCCATCCCCCTCCCCTTCCCCTCTCCATCCCCCTCTCTTTCTCCCTCCCCTTCCCCCTTCCACCTCTCCATCCCCCCCATCTCCTTCCTTTCCCCCTTCCCCTCTTCCTCCCCCCCCCCCCCCCACCTCACACCCGTCCAGGAGAATATCCGATCTTCGCCCCATTCCCCTCTCCCCTTCCCCCTTCCCCCTTCCCCCCCTCCACCTCTCCACCCCCCTCCCCTTCCACCTCTCCATCCCCTTTCCCACTTCCCCCCCCCCCCCCCCACCTCACACCCGTCCAGGAAAATATCGGATCTTCGCCCTGGAATTAAGTACACGACAGGCTCCCGCAAGTCACTTTTGACCTTCGCGGCGGAGTGAACTTGTCGACTCGAATCAGATGAGTGAGCGAGGTCAAGTAGGGTCAAGTGGGAGGTGAGGGGGGGGGGCAGAGGGGGGAGCTTCGGAGACAGTTCAGACGAGGTCAGAGTGAATCAAGTATTTTTTTAAAATTATTTTTTAATTAAGCCTCTGAGGATTCGATATGGGTCATGAGACCAGATAAATAAGTTTATATATATATATATATATATATATATATATATATATATATATATATATATATATATATATATATATATACATATATGTATGTATGTATGTATATATGTATATATGTATATATGTATGTATGTATGTATGTATGTATGTATGTATGTATGTATGTATGTATGTATGTATGTATGTGTGTCTATATATATATATATATATATATATATATATATATATATATATATATATATATATATATATATATATATATTTTTTTTTTTTTTTTTTTTTTTTTTTTTTTTTTTTTTCTTTTCTTTTTTTTTCTTTTTTTATCAAGAGATGGAGGATGGTCAAATAAAGTCACGGGAGAGAGAAAGGAAAGGGATATAGATAAGGAAACAGAGAAAGATGAGGAAAGAGAAAAGATAAGGAATAAGGGAAATGTAAAGAGAGAGAGGGATAAAGAGAGACGGAGAGACAGACAGAAAAATAAAGAAAGGGAGAAAGAAAAGGGGAGAGAGAAAAGGAAAAATAGAAAGCGAAGAAAAAGAAGAAAGATAAGAAAAGAGAGATGGAGAGGGAGAAAGTGAAATAAGAAGGAGAAAGAAATGGAGAAAGAGAAGGGAAGAGAGAGAAAAAAATAGGGAAAGTAAGAAAGAGAGGAAAGAAAGAAAGATAAAGAGGATAAAGAGAAAGATAAAGAGTGTGTGGAATTAAGGTCAAGTGGAAAGCTCTCTCCCAGATAAGGTCAGATTGGGTCAAGATGTATGGATGAATTGAGGGCTTTTGCGACGAGGCCGTTTCAGAGGGTTTGGCTGAAATTCAGGGAACCGGGAAGGGCTTTTAATGTTGATGTTGATATTAGTCCTCAAAGTCAACACGGAGTCATATCATGTCATGGAAAGGGGCCAAAGAAAAACGTTCTCCCTTTCTCTCTCTCCTTCTCTGTCTCTGTATGTCTGTCTTTCTGACATACACATATAAACATGTATATATATGTATATATATATATATATATATATATATATATATATATATATATATATATATATATATATATATATATATATATATGTCCACAAATGCACACACACACACACACACACACACACACACACACACACACACACACACACATACATATATAAATAATATGTGCGCGTGTTTGTGTGCCTTTGTGTATATCGCATTGAGGTCACACCATGTCAGGAAACAACAAAAAAGAAAAGTGAACAAAAATGAAAAATGAAAATAAGTGAAAATGAAATAAGCGACGCATTATCGTCCAGAATCCAAAATAACCAAAAAAAACAAACCAACCAACAAACAAAAAAAAAGACCCAAGAGAAAACGAAACCAAAACAAACAAAAAAATCCCCGAAATAAAAGAAAATGTCGAAAAAAAAAGAAAGGCTGAAAACCCCAAAAGTAAGAACGGAACTAAAGAAGGAAAAAGTTCTCGGTGTGAGATTCAGGCGCGAGAGACATCAGAGACATCAGAGACATCAGAGACATCAGGCGAAATTGGGACAAAGGAGATCAGGCGCGAAGAAAGCTCGGGGAGAAATGGGGATAAAAGTGGGAAGAAGAAAGAGCGGAGAAAGATAGAGAGGGAGATGATAGAGAGAAATAAAAGTAGAAAGATACAGAGATGTAAAAGTAGGAAGATGGAGAGAACGACAGAAAGACAGATAGAAAGACAGACAGGAAAATATAGAAAGATAGAAAATTAGGAAAAAAGAGATCATATAGAGAAAGACAAAGGAGAAGTTAGAATGAAAGATTGAGAAAAAGAAAAGAGGGATAGTAAATGGAGAAGGAAATGATAGAGAAAAGAAGAGGGGAAGAAGAGAAGGAAATGTAAACAAGAAAGTAAAAGGCAGATAGAACATGAAACAAAAGGCAAGGAAACTAAAGATTAAAGAACGAAAGGGAAAAAAGGTAAATGTAAAAAAGTAGAAAGAATGAGAGGAAATATCCTACATTTTTTTTAAATTGTCTTTTTAGACTGCTTAATTCTACAGGATCTCTCTCTTTCTCTTTCTCTCTCTCTCTATCTATCTATCGCTTTCTCTACTCGTCCGTGAGAGAGAGAGAGAGAGAGAGAGAGAGAGAGAGAGAGAGAGAGAGAGAGAGAGAGAGAGAGAGAGAGAGAGAGAGAGAGAGAGAGAGAGAGAGAGAGAGAGAGAGAGAGAGAGAGAGAGAGAGAGAGAGAGAGAGAGAGAGAGAGAGAGAGAGAGAGAGAGAGAGAGAGAGAGAGAGAGAGAGAGAGAGAGAGAAAGCGAGAGAGAGAGAGAGAGAGAGAGAGAGAGAGAGAGAGAGAGAGAGAGAGAGAGAGAGAGAGAGAGAGAGAGAGAGAGAGAGAGAGAGAGAGAGAGAGAATGAGAATTGAAAGAAGAAAGGGAAGCTTATAGGCATAATGATAATGGTATAATCGTCTCACAAATTTCCGAGCCTTTGTCATGACATTTCAGTTTCTTTTCGTTTCATTTCGCTTAATTTCATCTCATTTTACTTCACTTTCCTTATATTTCATTTTCACTTTATTCCCTTTCTTAATTCCTCTTCGTGTTATTTCTTATCACGTCTTTTTTTTCTTTCCTTATCTCGTTTTATCTCTTCCTTCCTTCCGTCATTCCGTTTCATCCAATCTAATCTCGTTTTATTTCACGTCTTTTCATCTCATTTCATTTCGTCTCTTCC